ACCCCACCCGCTGAGACCTTAGCCTTGGACTTTTAGCTCCAGAACTGTGAGATGATAGGTTTCTGTTGTTTAAGGCACCAGCTTGTGGTACTTTGTTACTGCAGCTGAGCAATCAAATAGATTTTTTTTCCATCCTTTCCTCACCGGAGTGTAGGTCTGGTGGGTGAAGGACCCATCTGTCTCGTGTACAGTTCTGTTCCCAGGGCCCAGCACAGAGGAAGCCCTTGATATGTTGCTGAATTAGTGAATGGGAACATCCTCTTATTTTTTCTCATGGTTATCCTTCTAAGGTTGGCTCATGAAGTTTAAGTTACCTGCTCAAGGTGACACAGCTAAAAGCAAGAGAATTTTTGATTCCTGGTCCTGCATCATTCCAATTATTCCATAGTTCCCTGAGGGCCAGCTTGAAAAAAAAAGAAAATCTACCAGCCTTCCCTTCTCACAGAATATGGAATGCTTGTTCTCCTTGAAGTGCTTCAGAAGGTTCACATTTGGGCTGTGGCCTGCCTGCATGCTTGCTCAATCTTGTCCAACTATTTGTGACCCCGTGGATTGTAGTTCAGCAGGCTCCTCTGTCTAGAGAACTTTCTAAGCAAGAATACTAGGGTGGATTGCCATTTCTTCCTGCAGGGAATCTTCCTGAGCCAGGGATTGAACCCAGGTCTCCTACATTGCAGGCAGATTCTTTATCACTGAGCCACTGAGGAAGCCCCTGGGCTGTGGAGGGAGAAGCAAAAATAACAACAAAAGAATGTATCAACCAAAACTAGATACCTTGAAGGAGGTTGTTTACATTAAAGGAAGCAAACCAACCAACTTAACAAAAGACTTCTTTCCTTAACCTAAGTATTGAACATCACACTATTATCCCAACCCATCCTCATATGATCTAATTTATTACAGTTTTATTTTTAAATTTTTATTGAAATATAGTTGATTTATAATGCTTTGTCAGTTTCTGGTGTAAAATGATTCAGTTATATATATATATAAGGGCTTCTCCGATAGCTCAGCTGGTAAAGAATCCACCTGCAATGTGGGAGACCTGGGTTCGATCCCTGGGTTTGGAAGATTTCCTGGAGAAGGGAACAGCTACCCACTCCAGAGAATGTAAAAAAAAAAAAAAAAGACACACACTCTCTCTCTCTATTTATCTATCTATATATATAGACTCTATTTTTTTTTTTTACATTCTCTTCCATTAGAGGTGATTACAGGATACTGAGTCTAGTTCCCTATGCTGTTCAGTAGGTCCTTTTGGTTGCCTATTTTATATTTAGTAGTGTGTGTATTTTAATTCCAATCTCCTAATTCCCCCTGTTGGGAACCATACATTTGTTCTCTGGGTCTATGATTCTATTTCTCTTTTAGAAATAAGTTTATTCGTATCCTTTTTTAAGATTCCACATGTAAGTGATATCATATGATAATCTCTATGTCTATGTTGCTGCAAATGGCAGTTTCATTCTTTATATGGCTGAGTCATTTTCTATTGTATATATTTTATCTATTCATCTGTCAACCGACACTAGTTGCTTCCATATCTTGGCTGTTGTAAATAGTGCTTCTATATTACAATTTGATTTACAAAGATCTTTCAAGAACCTATCTATTGCACACTTGCCTGTTGATTAAAACATACCTATAAGCTGTTGACCTGAGACAAATAGACCACCAGATATTTCGCCAACAAAGATGGGTTTATTTGGTATCAGCAGAAAATTCCATTCAGGGTCTGCAATCACAGCAAGCAAGTCGCCCCCTGGCAAGAGAAGGAGAACACTTGTACAGAGGGAAAGGGAAGCTGGGCGGACTACACTAAACAGAGTCTAGGCTTTCCACTGACTGAGTCCTTGTCAGGAAAGAAGATTCTTCTTCCTCTCCGGCTCTACTATCCTCACAGGGCATGAGAGCTCCCCCTTCTGGTCTCCCAACTGAATTTAATTGAAGCTTCTGTTTATTGAGGAGGGCATGGCAACCCACTCCAGGATTCTTGCCTGGAGAATCCCCATGGAGAGAGGAGCCTGGCACGCTATAGTCCATAGGGTCGCAAAGAGTGGAACGCGACTGAAGCGACTTTGCATCTCTTTGTTAACTTTTTTACAAAACCAAGAGGTATTTGCCCAAAAGACTAGAAAAGAAGAGGACAGGTAGCTCTTAATTTGACGCGCGAAGAACTGCGAGAGAGCAAATTCAAAGCACCGAGTTTATGGGGCTCTGCTTTATCATGCTTTGCAGATACTGTACTTTTTACCAATTGAAGGTCTGTGGCCACCGTGCATCAAGCAAGTCTATCAGCACCGTTTTCCCAACAGCGTTTTCTCACATTGTATCCCTGTGTCACATGTTAGTATTCTTGCAACATTTCAAACTTTATTATTATTATAATATTTGTTATGGTGATCTGTGATCAGTGATCTTGGATGCTACTACTGTGACCCTTGAGACTCAAACGATGGTTAGTGTGTTTTAGCAGTAAAGCATTTTTAAAGTAAGATATGTGTATTTGTTTAGACACAGGGCTGTTGCACACTTAGACTGCTGCTGTTTAGTCAGTAAGTCGTGTCTGACTCTTTGCGACCCTGTGGACTGTAGCCCTCCAGATTCCTCTGTCCATGGGATTTCCCAGGCAAGAACACTGGAGTGTGTTGCCATTTCCTTCTCCAGGGGATCTTCCCAGCCCAGGGATCGAACCTGTGTCTCCTGCTTGACAGATGGATTCTTTACCACTAATCCACCTCGGAAGCACCTTAGTAGACTGCAGGATAGTGTAAACATAACTTTTATAGGCACTGGGAAACCAAAAAAGCTGGAGCTGCTCACTGTATTTCGATATTTGCTTTATTGCAGCGGTCTGGAGCCAACCCACATTATCTCTGAAGTCTGCTTGTACACGTGGAAAAGTGTCTGGGAAATGAGGGCAGGCAAAGGAGAGCAAATATATTATTTCTTTAAGTGGCTGAACCCTGAAGCAGGTTTGCAATGAGACAGCTCATTAAGGGAAGTTTTTTTTTTCTCATGGTGCCTAAGTGATATAGCTATCGCTTTAATGGGAAATTAGTTAAGTTTGGGGAATGACAGAGCATTTAATTTGCAGTTCGGCAACGGTGTGTTCTAACTCTTGCTCTTTTCTTTTCAGCGGTTCCTTCTCTGTCTCTGTGTCCTTCAGAGTGTCTTTTCTGGGTTTCTGTACATTGATGTGTGTCTGTGACTTCTACACTTATCTTTCCTTCTGCCAGTGTGTCTCTGCCCCCACACTCCCTCTCACTTTCTCTGGCCACTGCTCTGGCGGTGCAGAGCCTGACAGTCTGTGTAAAACTTCATCAGCCTCCCTCACGCTGAAAGCCGAGCTCTTTTGTTCCACCCAGGAGACAGAGAAATCCTTTTAAGTGTAGGAATGCTATCTCATTATCCGGGGGCTGGAGAGAGGAATGCCTCAAACTCTGTCATTTCAGTAAGAAAGACCTTTGAAATCTTTATAATTATCTGCACATTCCTGTCTACTTTTACCCAACAGTTAAAATGCGGGTGAACAGTGCTGAATGCCCACTGGCTGATCCATGAAGGGGAGAGTGATTTATTGAGATATTAGTTTGGGTTCTGTCTTTGTGGCAGGGGAAATCAACACGATGAGAGGCTTTTTTGTCCTGTTCTCTGGGTTTCTCACTCCTCCAGATCCCGAGAACCTGCTGGGGTTACTGTGGGGATGGTGCTGGGTGTTTCAGGGGAGCAGGGAGGCAGGAAGGGCTTCCTACGGGTGGGGGGAGGGGGGGCAGAAACAGCACAAGTCCACGTGTCAAGCTGCCACTTAGGCATTGAGGAAACATCAGTACACAAAACAGACAGATATTCCTGCATGTGTGGAGCTCACACTGGGTAGAGACCGAGAATGATGGTCTCAATGAGGGAAAAGGGCTTCCTGAGTAACGTGGGAGAGAAGTGGAGGTTTGGCTTTGTGACCTTTCTGGAGAGGGGGTACCCCGCCTACACCTTGGAGCCCTCAACCTTAACCAAGACTCTGAACCTCAACCCAGATCGACAGACACCAGAGCCGCAAGAAGGAGCAGAATCACTACACCTGAGGGACTGCATGGGCTGGGCAGAGTGACTTGGCAAGGACTGGAAACCATGGGCTCCTCTGCCCCCGAATGTTCTCCTCTGAGACCCCCAGAGTCCTTCCCAGAGCTGGGTTAGAACAGTCCCCAGTTCACTCAGCCTGGGTTCCTTGCCAGGCCAGAAGGATTGAGTTGGGGACTCAAAATCAAAATTAATTTGACTTAAAGAAAAAAAAGTAATTTGACCTGTGTTGCCCCTCTTAAGTAAATAACTTCCAAGTCTGACTCAGGCTTCAGTGGAAAGTGTGTGCTCCACGGCATTGTACAGATACATGAGTATTTTGCTTTTCAGGATATTGTCCCTTATTCCCTTTATATCTGTTAATTCAGTCTTATGTTTTGGTTGAAAAAAAAAAAAACCATAGTTGAGTGGGTAAGAGTGATAGCTCTAGAATTTTTCAGATCTTAGCTCAAACACAAATTTACACCCATAGATTTATATCTCACTTGTATCATGTGACCTTGGGCAAGTTACATAGATTCTCTTACCTTCAGTTTGTTGCATCTGTAAAATGGTGATCATGGTAGTATTTATCTGAGATGTTATATGAGAATTAAGAAATCAATACATGTAAAGCATGGAGGTAAAAGTGCTTGGCATCTGACAAGTAGCTGAAAAGTACTGACTCTAATTTTTACTTTTTCTTACTGACTAAGCTTGGAGAAAGGGACCATCAGAGATCACCCATCATGAAGTTTTGAACTAGATGACATCTAAAGTTCGGTCCTTCTCTAATTCTCAAGGACAATGGCCTCTCATATGGTTTAGTCTCCTCTCTTCCTTTAACTAACACTGGGTTAAAGGTATGATTGCAAATTAGACTAAGAATACTAAGAATACAGTGGCTCGACGCTTTATTGAGGAAGATCTGGGGCTCACAAAAGACCAAGAACCATCTGAGCCATTCAGGAAGTAGATAAGCAGTGTTTGGGTTGTGCACACTGCAGCATTCTCAGCCTGGTTCATATACACATCTTCCCTACGTTGCAACATTGGGCCTTCCAGTAGGTGATGAAAATTGTCCCAAAGAGTGAGTGGCTAATTTGAAAAATAAATGAAAAATAAAAAGAAGAGTGGAGAAGACATTGAAACAAATAAGTTGGCTCATCTTACTCCCAGAAAGTAATTTGCTAGAAGGGGGCTAGAACCTTAACAAGGCTTTTCACTTGCATAAACTCTGGGTCTTTATTGGAATGGGCTTATTCAAGGGCTCTTTGGTTACCTTACCTTTTGGTCCCTTGGGAGGGATGAAGGACAGTGGCTTCTCAAGCCTAGAGCTTGAGAATGAGCTATTTGAAGTGGTAGGAGAGCAAGGGTGGTAACTGTCCTCAATATGCAGATGATCTTGACTGTTAAGTGTCTGCAGGCCAGACCTTCCATCTCTTCAATCCCTTTGAGATGGATTCCTCAAGTACCATTAGGTAGTGGATCCAAGACGGCTACATAGTACAAGCCTCAGTCTTCTTATCTGTAATGTGGCAATACTTGCCCTAGTAACATCAACGAGATGACGACCAAGAATAAAGCAGAGGGGAAAATCTTTCCCTTTTACTTTTCTATATTCTCAACTGGAGCCCTGAAACAAAGCACAGATTAAGAGGAGAAAAACAAGTTGATTAACATGAGTACTACACATGTAGCACATGGGAACACCAACAGGTGAGTAAATAACAGAGGTGGCTTGGAACTCAGGCTGAAGTAACATCTTCAGCAGACAATAAATTTGTAGAGAAATAACAGAACATAGAAGGTGATTTTAGGCTTCCAAGGATGGCAAACTGTAAGACGGTAAATCTATTGGAAACCAGTGGCAGATCAAAGCTAGTTAGTAAAATTTATTATGTAAATTTGTCTCCAGATGGATATGAAGTTGTCTAAAGTAGTGTCTAGGCAACACAAAGTTGTGTCCAGTGACAAACTTTTGTCCTTCTAGATAGAAAGTCCTGCTTCTAGGCAAATAGTGAGAAGGCAGAACACTTTTTTTTTTTGTAACTGATTTGTCTTAATTGCTTTTAAATTCAAAGACAGTCTTTTTGCCAAAGTGTTAATATTTTGGGGTTACATATTTTTATTTCCTTCCAGCTCATCTGAGACAATGAGTATGGAAGCTTACAATATGACTGGACAATATTTCATGTTCTCTCTTTTATTCACTTATGTCCTTCCATCTGTAGTTAAGCATCTGTGGGTTGTCATGAAGCAGAGTGTGGAAGTTAAAATGACACCCTTGGCAGTACTAGCTCAGTAGTTAAGCTTGCTCCCTTCCGCTTGATCTGCTGCCTGGGAGTCACAAGACCTCTTTGCTTTGTGAGCATCACTTTGAATTCTTCCACTAGTCAAAACAGCCAAATGGTGGGGACTTGCCTCGGGGAAACTTCTACTCCAAGAAGGAATTGCTCTGAGTCAGTAGGAGTGACTAAGAGAGATTCTGGAGGGAAGCTGTTGATGTGTCATGGCCTCATAATGAATTCATCACTCAGAAGCCTGCTCACTATGACTTTCAGAATGATCTCTCCCAGTTGTTTATCACTAAGAGTAATAGAACACTTGGGAGAGACATCAACATAATGAACAAACTTAGAAATGATGATCCCTGCACTTCTAATAAGACAGAAAATAACAGGGAAATGTTAGAAAGAAATAACAAGTCAAAATAATATCAACTCTCGCCCCCTGAGAGCAAACCAAGACTTCACTGCAGTTTCAGTCCCTCCCAGAAATGAACTTTAAAACAGTTAATCTAAAATTTCCTGATCAAGGATCAACACTAATACCAGTGAGCTAACTGCACAGTAAAGACCCCTCCTGTTCTTTTCCCCCAAAGGAAGGCGGCCCGGCCTGAAACAATTCTTTCATTTTGCTAATAACTTCTTTCCTTATCCTCTAAAACTTTTCATTTTGTACAACTCCTCTGAAAAGAGTTGGATGCTGCCTGGCTCATGAATTCATGAACACAGTCAATTGAAATGACTGTCAAGTCAAATGAAGTTTCAAATTGAAACTTCAAATTTACTTGGTTGAATTTTTTTTTTTAACAGAAACATCTATGACTTTACAAGTTTACATTGGAAACCTACCTTATAAATAGTGAGTCATAACTATTAAGAGTCAGTATTTCACTATTAAGAGTGAGTAAAGAAAACATCTGGTCTTGTCACTTCATGGCAAATAGATGGGGAAACATTGGAAACAGTGACAGACTATTTTCTTGGGCTCCAAAATCACTGAAGATGGTGACTGCAGCCATGAAATTAAAAGATGCTTGCTCCTTGGAAGACAAGCTATGACAAATCTAGATGGCATATTAAAAAGCAGAGGCATTATTTTGCCAACAAAGGTCAGTAATAGTCACAGCTATGGTTTTTCCAGTAGTCATGTATGGATGTGAGAGTTGGACGATAAAGAAGGCTTAGCACTGAAGAACAATGCTTTTGAACTGTGGTGTTGGAGAAGACTCTTGAGAGTCCTTTGGACTACAACGAGATCCAACCAGTCAATCCTAAAGGAAATCAAACCTGAATATTCATTGGAAGGACTGTAGTTGAAGCTAAAGCTCCAATACTTTGACCACTTGATGTGAAGAGCCAAGTCATTAGAAAAGACCCTGATAGGGAAAGATTGAAGGCAGGAGGAGAAGAGGACAACAGAGGATGAAATGGTTGGATGACATCACTAACTCAAAGGACATGAGTTTGGGCAAATTCTGGGAGATGGTGAAGTTCAGGGAAGTCTGGCATGCTGCAGTCCATGGGGTCACAAGGAGTCAGATGCAACTGAGTGACTGAACAACAAGAGGAAACATGGAAACATACAAGAATAAGTTTGTCAAGAATAATTAAAGGCAATCCCTATATATTTTAAATATTATCAGTCCTCAAAATGTCTGACTGACTGTTGATGTGAACAAATTCATTTCTAACTGTCCTGGATAATCTCGTGCTTTTTCCTCAGACAAGACCATGATGGGTACCATGGTTCTTCAGTAATGGCCATGGTCAAAATGGTGGCTGGAAAGACCAGACTCCTAATGGGTAACAGAATCCCCAGAAGGTGTAGGCTCATCGGGGATGATAGCAGATGAAGTCACCGTTTAGTCTTGTATTCAGCAGTTTCATGTAATCCATAGACTCTGCCCCAGCCCCTTCAATCACTTTCGTTACCTTGAAGTGGTTATATAATTTTGTGTCCTGTTCTGCAGCCTTTCTCCTTGGTAGCTTTCAACTTTGGGGGAAAACTGCCCATTCTTTTCTCTGTCCAAGTGGTAAGTAAGAGGCTGGCCCCATCTTAGCTTCAGAGGTGAAGCACGTGACCGAGCCTGGCCAATCAGTGTGCTGCATGCTTCTGAGCTATTGGTAAAGGGGTAAACATGTGACCCAAAGCAGACCACTCAGAGCTGTTGAGACTCAGTTTCAGAACTTCTGTGGGACCCATAGAAAAAGAGACGTTCTCTGTTGCTTGAGATTGCTGTCAGAATGGAATGGAAGCTTCAAACAGCTGCAGCCATCTTACCAGAAGAAGGCATCTGCTTGTAAGTGGGGCCCACACAGAGGAATTCAGAACCAAAAGATAGAGAAAGTGAAGTGGAAGACATTGTCTGGGCCTCTCCACCATCTGTTCCAGAAACCAACCTACCCCTGACTTTTAAGTTACTTGAACCAATGAATTCCTTTTTCTGCTTTAGCCAGGTTTAATTTCATTCTGCATCCCAGGTGACCAAATAAAATAGACACTACTTTCAGCAAGTGCCAATACAAGCCCTAAAACCCAAGCAGTGCCCACTTCCTCCCTGTTCACTGGTCTCCTTTCTTTTGAGTGGGAGTCTTTCTGAGACTTGCATTTCTTTTATGTTTCATTTGCTTCTAGTCCTTTCTCTGGCTCACCTGCAGCCCTTGAGTCAGCCATTGCACTCCGTTCTTCTGGCTGATGCCTGGAGCCTGTCCAGTGGAACTTTGTGCTATTCACCCTTCTCCCTCATCAGCACACTGTTTTATGCCTCGGGTGATGCAGGCTGAATGCAGAGCATCTCAGTGTGCTGGTTAGAATTCCAGGGCCTTACTTCATCAGCCTGAGTGTATACATGCAGCTGGGCTGAGACTTCCATTTCTGACAGCTGAGAGTCACAGCTTCACCCTGTTATTGATACCTGCTATGTCATTTTAGAAAATGTAGGAAAATAGCTGTCCAATTTTTCCAAATATGTGTACATAAATCAATAACTCCACATTTAAATCCACCCTTACTTTGATGTTACATGAAGAGAAAAGGCAGTCCCCAGGGTTTGTTTCCCAAAGAAACAAGAAGAAAGTAGGTTAATACACCACCAGTATCACAAGGAGTAATGAAACACATTAAATACTATTTGAGAATTATTTTTACAATTAAGATGTTCATCTTCCATCAAGCATTGGGACAGTTGCCTTGATTTGTGAATGACTTGTCTCCCTGCAGGCAGGCTGGGAGTTTCGAGAGTCTCAAATTATGATTATGAAAAGAGGAGTCCCTATGCTTGGTATGCCCCAGAGACAGTGTCTTTCTTTACATTGTGTGATGGTGTGCAGGCTTAGGACACTCACCAAAGGCCTCATGTTCATGAAATTCCTTTTCTTCTATCAGCTGCTACATGGGACCAAAAATTTGTCATCTGAATTGAACCAAGTTATTGTCTTAACCCTCAGTTATTTTGTGCTCAGGAGATGTGTAGTGAAATGAAAACTGGGGGGTCTGAGGCTGGTAGATATAGGCACTCTGGAAAAAGTAAGATCCCAAAGCAAAATTTTCACCATGATCCTTTGAGTAAATAGGATCTGTGAGTCTATTTTTATGGAGCAAAAAGCTACTAGATTGAGCAGATCTGAGTCTAGTACTTCCAAAGAGACTTGGGGAATACTGGAGGTATGTGATTGGTGTTTCTGAACAATGGTTCAAATTGTGCATATATTTTTGATATATATATGTGTGTGTATGTGTATTTTTTATTTAAGTATAGTTGATGTACAATATTATAGAAGTTACATGTGTACAGTATAGTGGTTCATAATTTTTAAGGGTTATACTCCGCTTGTAGTTATTATAAAATATTGGCTATATTCCCTGTGTTGTACAATATGTCCTTATAGCTTATTTTATACCTAATAGTTTCTCCTCTTAATCCTCTACCCCTCTGTTGCCCCTCCACCCTCCCCTCTCCTCACCGTAACCACTAGTTTGTTCTCTGCATCTTTGAGTCTGCTCCTGATTTGTTATATTCACTAGTTTATTGTATTTTTTAGGTTCCATGTATGGGTGATATCATATATATTTGTCTTTGTCTGATATTTTTTTAACAAGGAAGGAAGGAAGGAAAAAAGAGGGGAAGAAGGAAGACAGGAAAAACAGAAAAAGAGGGAAAAGAAAAGGAAACTGAAAGGCCCAATTCTACTGTAGTGTCACTTGAGGGGAGGACACTGGGAGGTGATGGGGTTTGGGAAGCAGTTGAAGGGTTGGAGCAGAGTATGACATAAGAACCATCATTTGGAAACCTGAGTAGACTGTTTCTTGCATGACAGAAGGAAGAATTAGAAGCAATAGTAGGAGAGGGACTTCAGTTCAATTTTAAGAACTTGCTTAGTAGAGAAATGGGTTTCCAAGTGAGGTAGTGAGTTCTCTCTCAGGGAATATGCAAGCAAAGACCAGACACCTACAGGATGTCAATGAAGGAATTCATTCACTGGGGGAAAAGTAAGACTAACTCACTGCTTAGAGTCTATGTTTCACGTTTGATGCTTGAAAATTGAAGTGATCTTAATAGGATCCCTAAGAGAAGCTCAAGCCTCTTGGAAGCAAATACAGACACACCTCAGAGAGGCTGTGAGCTCAGTTCCAGACCACCACAATAAAGTGAATATCACAATCCATAAACTCTTTGGTTTCCCAATGCATATAAATATTGTTTACACAATTCTGTAGTCTGTCAAGTATGCTTGATGTCTAAGAAAAACAATGTGCATACCTTAATTTAAAAATAATTTATTGCTAAAACTGCTAACTATCATCTGAGCCTTCCGTGAGTCAGAGTCTTTTGCAATAACATCAGAGATCACCATAGCAAAGATAATCATGAAAAAGTTTGAAATATTGTGAGAATTACTAAAACGTGACGCAGAGACAGGAAGTGAGCCAATGCTGTTGGAAAAAATGGTACCAATAGACTTGCTTGATGCAAGGTTGTCACAAACCTTCCATCTGTGAAAAACACAATAAGGTGAGGCATACTAAATGAGGTCTGCCTGTACCTCAGGTGCCTGGAGAGTTCAGAAGAAGAAACAAATATGGCAGCAACGGCAAAACACACATCAAGTAACACTTGTGATAATGAGGAGGTGATTACTTCCCTTCAAAAACCCCACAGGGAGCAATAGTAGGTACAAGTTAAATCACAGGCATTTCCCCTCATTATCTAGTCAATTACTTGAGTTGCCTTTCTAATTAGCCCTGTGCTGTCAGCGCTGGGGAGCTCTCAGAACCCAGTGAGATGGTTATAAAAGTCACTCAGTCCCAAACCATGCGTGGTCATTGTTGGCCAGGACCTCACTACTCACACACGGATTCTTTACCAGCTGAGCCACAAGGGGAGCCCAAGAAGACTGGAATGGGTAGCCTATCCCTTCTCCAGAAGATCTTCCTGACCCAGGAATCGAACTGGGGTCCCCTGCATCGCAGGAGAATTCTTTACCAACTGAGCTATCAGGGAAGCCAACTCAAAGAGTGGACAAATATCTGTCTTATGTTTAAAAATTTGCTTTCACACTCAAATCCACACATCAAGAGCTTTGTGTGGTGTGTGGTCGTGGTAGGGGTGGTTGACATTTAAAGTAAATGCTTAAATTTGAACTGATCACTTGATTAAGTGAATCGAAGTTCCTAAACTACCACATAGAAGTGGAGATGGAAAACCTATCCTGCTCCCACCTGTTCTTGGCACTCTGTATTCTGCATACTCAGTGATGGCCACTTCTGCAGGCTGTACGAGGCAGCTATATGTAAAATCATAGTGATTGAACATTGGCTTGCTTTTTAATGTACTTGTTAAAGAAAAGAAATAATGTGGCACAATTCCCTAAGAATAATAGAGAAACCCAAGGCACCATCCAAATAGAGTCTCATTTTTCATTTCTCTACTTTCATCTTTTGGGATCTTGCCAACATTTGCTATGTGTGTGTTCTCATTCGTTGGTTTTGAGATCACTGTAGGCGTGGAGATGGGCAAGGAGGAAGCAGAGACAATTAAAACCCAGAGAAGCTGAAAAGCAAATTGGCACATCACTTCCCTGAAAAGAATTTATCTAGTATTTATTCTCATGTGCTGGGGTGAGCAACTTTTCTTTATCTCACCCAAACAAGCCCAGCCTTTGTTTTTTCCAAGGCAGAAACTATCATCTGGCCTCTGAGGACTTGTTATAAATTTTTAGTTAATTAGATGTCAAGCACATCAGATGGAAGGTAAACAGGAGCAGCTTTTTATTCAAAGAGTCTGACAGGAGCAAAATAAGTTGCTAATTTTGAAGAGAAGAATTTGGATATAAGACCCAAATATACCTAAACGATTTAGGCTCTTACTTTCTATTTCTACAAACTAATTTTTTCCCCTCTCCTGGTTATAGCCCACCATTCTTACATCATGGCATGCTTAGAAAATTTTAATTGTATGCTGGACACTGTAAATTTTACCTTGTTGATCATATAGATTTTGTCACTTTCTTTTAAAGAGAGTTGGCCTTTGCTCTGGCAGGCAGTCAATTTATTTGGAGAGCAAACTGTTCCTTTGGAAGATCCCATGTGTTTAAGCTTTTTTAGAGTGACCCTTGGTGGCTCAGATGGTAAAGAATCTGTCTGCAATGCAGGAGACGTGTGTTCAATCCCCGAGTCTGGAAGGTCTCCTGGAGAAGGGAATGGCAACCCACTCTAATATTTTTGCCCGGAGAATTCCACGGACAGAGGAGCCTGGTGGACTATAGTCCATGGGGTTGCAAAGAGTCAGACACGACTGAGTGACTAAAACTTTCCCTTTCACTTCTCAATTTAACAAGCACATCGTGTTCTGCTTGGCATCTCTCTACTCACACTGAGATCTGCAAAGTGCCCCCAGGCAGAAAACTAAGGTCACTGTAGAACTTATCTTTTTAACCTTGTTTATCTCTCTTCTCTAGGGATCATATTCTTATGCTGTCTGATATCCAGTACCTGAAAACAGTTGTTGGTTTTCTAGTAGTTCATGGTGGGAAGATAAGTCTTGCTACCAGTTCACTTGTCA